GGAGGAGGGCTGCCGTCCTCAGGCCGCCGTCCTCCGCCAGCTCCGAGGGCGAGGAGCCCTTCAGTCCCTCAGGCTGCTCCCTGCTCTCCCCCGCATCCCGCCCCAGCTCCCCGAGCGGCGAGGAGGAGGAGGAGAGGGCGGTGGCCTGCCGGAGCCGGCGAGGCGATAGGTAACCCCTGCGTCTGGGCCTAGGTTCGAGCAGGGAGCTCGGGGCCGCCCCTTGCCTGAGGAGCAGGACTCCTGCGCCTGCCTCCCTCTGCTTGAGGCCTTGCTGGGGATGGAAGATTGTCTCATATAAATACAGATTTGTTTGCATAGATAAGAGCTGTAGGCACCTCGTTCCCTTTTTAGGCTATCTTGGGAAGTCACGGGTTATGGCAGTCTTTTCTGTGGGTAGTTGAGTATTTTCATGGCTTTGTAAATTATCAATAAGCTGTTGACCTGAGCTTCAGGGTCTTTGCAAGCTAAGGTACAGCCATTCCTGTCATCCTTTTAAACGTTCTTGGAGACTACAGGGCTGTTTTGCCATGTGTATATAGCTATATCCAGAGTCAGTTTCATGTGTATGCATCGCACAGTTCTTGTTCTGTGGGTTAACCTCATTCCCTTGTAATTATATGCAAACTTAATATGTCTTCTTTCCCTCGGGATCTCCTCCGCTTGACAGACGAATAAATAATCCTTATTCCTCCCTTTAAAATAGAGGGGGGTGGAGCAGGAAGTGCCTGGAATACGACCTTTGCAATGGAAACTTTGCAGATCTGTGCAGTAACTGATGATGGATGTAACTAGCAAGACTGAACTGAGCTAAAAGTCCTAGTGGAGTAAGGGAAGGACTGCTGAGCTTCACAGGAGTGCAGGGTTCCAGTGTGGTTCTCCAGCTCTTGTGGAGTGCAGTGCACAGCTCCCAGACAGACTGAGGGAATATGGGCCATGCTGAGCTTTTCTTACAAGCATTTCCTGAAAAAGGTGCTAAAAGTCCAGGCAAAGTGTTCCAACGTAGTCAGAAATAGAAGCTTCAGAGTGAAAAGGATATTAACCTGTTTATGGTCCCTCCTGTTTCAGGTTTTCTGTTGCCTCTCCTTTTACTCCTTCCCAGTAAGCAAATTTGTTCATGTACCTTGAAGTTCCGTAGTGCTCAGTTCAAACTACTTTGTGTTTTTGCAGCCTGAGATGCTACTTGAAACAGCTCTCCTTTTGGGCCTGTTGCTGCAGTATTCCCTGGCAGCTGCAAGATGCAACTGAAGTTAACCTCTGTGAGGGCCTGAGTTGGAACAATCTCATTAAGCTTTGCGGGACCAATATATACTTCACTCATGCAGACACCACATCTGAATAATACTGCTGCCGTTTTGTAATAAGTGTCTACCAAATGTTCATATAGTAGCTTCCGTGTATAGCTGCTAAGATCTCAAAAGGTATAATAATAACAAACACTTCTTACACAGCCACCACCTCCCCACATATGCACACACTCTCTTAAAGAGTCTTTTTGTTGTTGGTGTTGTCCTCTTAAAACTACACAAAAATTAGCCAGAGGCAGACATTTAATGTGGGAAATAGAATATTTGCAAAAAAGAAAAGCTGAAAACGAGGCCTTGTGAAATGGTGTTAGGCATTTCCATACTTTCATTATGGATCAGTGTTACATGTGATGGCGTGACTTCAGTGAATATATGGGAAATGATAATCACAATGTTTTCTATTAATCAGACTTTAGTTCTAATGCCAAATGTATCTAATTCAATTTAAGATTCTTATTTAAATACAAATGTGCACTTGAGAATATGGTACTTTGAGAAGTCTGTTATTTTAATTATTCTGAGGAAAGTCATAGCCGTGAACATACCAGCATTTCAGAAAATGGTCCTGTGAAATTAAAGGTCTGTGTGGCTCAAAATACATAATCAGTGTGCCAGGGAGAGTGCGACCAGTGGCTGGGATGCACACTGAGAAGGATTGGGTTCCAGTCTGTGCTCTGCTGTAATCCGAGAGTTTTAGACACAGTGCTGCAGAAGAGGAGAAACGCTTTTCCTAATAGTTATTTATATTGAGCTTATGGTTTCCTCTGTTTAAACTTCATTTTCTGTTATTTCTTACTTGTATACAATAAGTTTTTAATTTATTACTGTGAATTTTTCTTTATAAGTAAACAGCTTGAACTTTATAATTACTGATACAAGAAAACATATTATAAATTTTTTTTTTCTTAATTCATTCCTTCTACTAGTACTTTTTCTCAGGTTGGTCTAATATGTCAGCATTATTCTAGTACAAGGTGCCATAATGCAAATTGTGCACAACAAAAGAATGTATTGAGGAAGTATCCCTGCCCAAGATGTCAAGTCTGAACAAAGCCGTGTTGGTTTCCTGAATTTGAATGCATAATACTTTTATCCTTATCTTTAATAAACTTTCAGAGAGTTATTTTCTAACAAAATGTGTAATTATGCATTCTTAAGTTGCATCCCTTATTATATATACCTGTTTAACAACTGTCTCTGTTAAATTTTTGGTCTTAATGCTGTAGTGTAAAAGCCCTAGGGTGCAGCAGAATGTGTTGGACAACACTGGGCTTGGGAGTGCTTGACCTGTGCTGCTTCTGTCCACGTGTTGTCTGTGTGTCAAGGAGTCCTGTCAGTTCCCTTGTGTTACCACATCCCTGTGGCTGCACAGTAGGAAGAGGATTGCGGGCTGATTCTGTGTGGGAAAAATAACCCTTTTCCAGGTTAGTTTTGGCATGAATCAGTTCCCCTGGACATGTCACAGCTTGACCAGCAAGTGGTCATGTCAGTGCGCATGTGTGTGTGGGGGTAACAACAATGGAGAAGAGTAGGACAAAACTCCTTAACACTGACATTGTCTCCAAATGCTTTGTATCACAGAAATACGTTCTAAAGATTACTGGAGCTTAACATGTTTTGCAACAGGGTATTTCTATTCCCTGTGAACACGTAATACTTTTATATTGATGAAAAACAGGTATCTTACGCTTAAAAGATGTATTTCAGGAGCATTAACATAATATGCTTGTTTGGATGCCTCTTCTGCAGCTTGAATTCAGCAAACAGAATTACTCACTGTAGTGAAGTATGTAGGATAGGTATTTCCAGACCCCATATGTCCACATAATATACTAACATGAAGTCTACTTTTACTGTTTTATTGTTAAGAAAATTTCTGTATATGATAGAAGAAATCTTATAAATAAATCCTATTGGCATGTTTTCAATTTTCATTGACTTAGAACCTAATATACTGTCTTACTTATGAGGTGGTACATGTATAGAGTATTATAAAAGACGCTTCTGGCCTGTGGCTATGACTGCTGCATTATTCACGAGTAAAGAAGTTATGAGTTAATTATGCAAGGTGCCCTATTAGAAGTCTAATAGAACCTTATATAATATCATCAAGTATTGTTCTCAAACCGTATTTCTTAAGTATGTTTCCTGTGAAAGCTTTTTAGTGTGGAAAACTTTACCTATTAGAGTGACTGGATTCTTCATGCTGAGGTTGCTTGATACCACGACTCTAATTCTATAGGACTTGAAAGAAGAAAAGATATTCTTGATTAGCCTTTGCTCATGCTAAAGACCACTTGATACATGGAGCCTCTCTGTGACCACGGACAGGATGTTAATGTTAAGTCTCTGATTTCCCTTGGTTTCCATATGTGAGAAGAAAGGTGACATTTTGATGTTTCTGGTATTAGTTTTTATTTAATTCGTAAAAGGTAATGCTTGAATCCATTCCACAGTTTGGAATGGGCGGGGAAAATCACTAACAAGCTAGAATTCCATAAGTAGAACATAAGAGGGATGGTCAGAGGTACACTACAAATGCCATTTATCCATTCTAGAGATTACTAAGCAAGCAGACAAATAATGTCATTGTTGTCACAATATACCATAAAAGAAATATCATTTTTCAAGACAGTAGCACTACTTAACTTTTCAATCAAATATATTAGAGATAATATTCTTTTACATTTCTTGTTTTTAATTCAGGAAGGCTGAAGGCTCTGAAGTAGCGGAGGGGGAAAAAGAGTCACCTTTGAAAGAGAATCTTTCACCATGGGAAGAATGGTTCATTGGCAAAGAGAAGGAACTACGTGCTCGCTTACAGGCTAGAGCTGCAGAGGTGAATACATCCGATTCACTTGGTGTTAAGTCTAATACAAGACGGCAAATACCAACATACAGGAAATTTTTTTTCTTTTGCTTGTGAGATTAGTTTTGTCCATTATTTTTTAGTGTTTTGAGCCTCTGTAGTGTTTGTGTCTGACAGTGCTGACATGATTCACGCTACATGCATTCTTTTTTGCTAAAAGTTACTCTTCATTGAAGCGGTACTGTATAATATTTTGCTTATCCAACTGTCAGGTAATGGTTCAAGTTTAAAGGATTAAAACATATTTGCTTATAATTGGTACCTTGATTTTCATCATGAGTACATATGTCTGCATGTAGGTAGTAAAACACAACAGGGCATATGCTGGGTGTAAGCATGATAAGCTGCTTGGTTGGATATGAGACACAGTGTTGTTACCTGCTTAGTGTGCAATTATAAAATTGTTTGGGGTCCTTTCCCAGGATAGGTTTCCCTGTCCCCGCATTTCTTTCCCTCCTTCCATCTTTTGCCTCCGTGCAAATGAACAGTTCTTGAATACTGGGGCAGAATTAGTTGAGTGCACTATAACTTTTCTTGATTGTAGTTGTCTTAACTTGTAGTTGTCTATAACTTGTCTCGTTTGTAGTTGCAGTTGATTAAACAATACTGTTGTTTAAAATCAAACTGGAAGTATTGGGTAGTGGTTAGAATAATCACATCAAAGTTAGATCATTTCTCACTTTAGTTACAGATTTACTGTTTGACCCTGAGCAATGTCCTAACCTTTCTGTGATTCACTTTGTCTGGAAAATGAATATAACGTACAGCTGTTTTATGTGGGCTACCTCATGCTGTTTATAAAACGCACACCACTGGAAGGTTCTGGAACAGTCTTTTAGAGTTCAGTATAACACCAAAATAGTTTGTTAAACTTGAGGAATATGTTCTGATCCATTAATATTCACCCCACATTTCATGACTTCCCCTCTAGATTCCAGTTTGGTAATTGTCTCTCCCTGTTTTGCTTTTTAAATACAAAAAATGAGCCAAAGTAATTTCTGGTGTCGTGTAGAAAATGTGGTTTGTGTATGGACTTCTTATGTGGTCTTGATGAGGAACCAAGGCAATTTATTCTTGTGTATCACACAATAGCATTTGTACAGTACTAAATGTAATCTAGAAGATATCTCTCTTAATATATATTTAACAGCAATCACAGGACAAGCATTACCTAAAGCCATCTAGAAATCAGTGGAATGATATGTTTTAATTTGTGAGATTTGGAAAATATTAGTTGATAAAGTGCAATGTAGGCAACTCAAATAGCTTATATCAGGGGAAAAAATACAGTCAACCTTTTTGTAAGATGCCAGAAGAGAACAAACTATGTATGTGATTGCGATATAAAAATGTGTTAGTACATTTGCATATAAAAAGTATTCTAAACAAATATCCTAAGATATCTTAACTGTGAAGTCCCAGATCTTTTGCTGACAGCAGCACCGAGTCTGCCCTGAGTGTCAGAAATGTGGGTACATGTTTGGAGTGGATAGTGAATGGGGTCTTCTAAGATACTTATCAGTGGTACCACCTTTTACAGCAACCAGAATCCCTGCAATACAGACGTCTCAGAACTTAGAGGAGGTGTTAGTTGGTGCACCTTTGCCTCAGTACGGCAACAACTATATTTTCAAACTACATCTGTATTGTGGGTGTTTTCTTTGAGCTCTCTGTAGGCTCTTGTTTTTTCTTGATGTCTTACTAAATTAAAATTCAATGTCATAAGAAGAGGGGGTTCTCTCTGAAACTGACTGCAGTGTAGGGACCATAAAATCAATTTCATGCAAATAATTCCATCTGTCTGTATTTGAAGGTGTGAATTCTCATTGAAAAATAGCACTTTGTGCTAATGATACTGTTAGAGAAGCTAGACATCTCAAACTGTCATCTTAGTCATGTTCTTTCTTCATAGATTAATTTCCTTGGAGAGATAGAAGTGATTGCTTATATACTGTATGTCCTGTAAAGATAATATACTTTGGAATGTCTTCTCTCATCTTCAAAATAAAGCCCCCTTTTCAAAGTTTGCTAAAATCTACAGTAATTTTGTCTTTAATAAGCTTTGGGTTAAGCCTTAAGGTTCCTGTAGTTCTGGTACTAAAATTCACAAGTGAGTAATATTTCACTTAGCTTTTGATGCCTTCCTGAATGCAGAGCACTATACCATGTAAATTTTAAGTATTGTAGAAAAGTATTGCTGCAAACTAAGATTCCACTGACTGAAAGGACATTAAAATAAGCTGAGGAGTGATTTCTTATGTTGAATTGTTTCCAAAGCCAAATTAAAATAAGTATTTCCAGTTCACGCTCTAAAAATTATACATTTCCATTGATTGTATTTCATAATATTTCTGTGTTGACTGTCACCTATGTTTTCCAAAATCTTAGTGAAGGAAAAATTCCAAAATCTAATGCTTACATTGTTTTGGCTTGTAGCGCTATTTCCAGTATTGAGTGTAATGGTGTAGACAGTCACCACAGACCTAATATGCATACTTTTTCTTTAATTAGGAAATGAGTATACAGCTTGAGAAGATGAAGCAAAAGCAAGAATGTGAAAGGAAGAAAAGGATAGCTGAAGAGAAGCACAAGGAATGGGTACAAAAAAAGAGAGAAGAGGTAAATATTGCTTTGGCTGCAAATATTCTAGCACATACCATGCTTAAGTAAACCTATGTAAAATTTACTTAGACTGTTTGGACAACCGTGTTTTTAGTTGGGTGAATGAATGGCTGTTTCAACTGAAAATTATAAAACCATGCCAATGCAGTTAAATATTTTTCCAAGACTGATTTCTTTTTTTTCCATAAGGTATAAAGAGATCTGTTTTCTGAGTAGTCAGGTAACTGACAATTGGCCTACATCTTGTGCAGGAGCCTTCTGCTAATTATAGCTGAGGTTCTGGTCTTCAGTATACCCTACTCTTTCTGACTTCCTAGATTCAATGCCCAAGCATTTTGGGTAAAGTGTACATCTTAACTGTCTGCAATGTCTTGCACACAAAGTAGAGCCAGAAGAAGGATTTGGTTAAGTGCCATTGTGGACAGGCAAATAGTATGGTAGAGTTTAGAGGGATAATTGAGGTGTGAGGCCAGATTCAGGAAATTCTCAGTAGACCACAGTTAGCAATTGGGAATTCCTTCATCCAAAAAGTTATTTCTGAGTGGGATAAAACATTTTTTAAGCTCTCTTAAGAGGGATGCCTAAGTCCAGGGTCAGAAGCAGACAGAATCCTGACCTCAATGGGGCACTGTACAGCTCTGTGTCACAGAAAGCAAGCATGTGTATTGGGTGGCAAAAATGGGAGCGTTTGGGAAGCTTGGTTTTGTTCAACCCCTAGTAGTTCGTGGGCATGTGTGTTCATTGTTTTATGGTCTGTAGCAGTATCAGTTGCTTACTGTTCTGTACTTCTGGTTCTGAATAAAATCAGATGAAAATTGATTAAAATTATCACAATGGCAGTAGCTGGGCTAGATATTCAGACCTCATACATTTTTCTTTACCATTTCAGAAGTCCCTGTTCAGATTCAGTCTAGAACCACTACAATAACCTGTGTTTGGATCTAACCTAATTACACTTAATTTCAGTGCTGACTGGATGATTGGCATAACCCCACCCCCAAACCAATCCTGTTCTAAGCATTTATTATGATATAGAAAGAGTCCTTCCTTACTGAAGCACACAACAGAAAATAGAAGATTTATTATTCAGAACAAAGAATGCCATTTTCCTCTTCTAAAATGCAAATTAAATTATCGGTGTCTGTCACTATTCACTGGGTTGCAATAGTTTGGACTGCCTGTTAAAATTGTTCGCAGTTCAAGCCAGTGAAAATTCTTGTTATCTATCCTCCATCCCGCACTCCCCTACTTCCCCACCTTCAACTTCTGTGAACTTCTAAGTATTTGGGTCCTCCTTGGACCTTTGTCTTTGTGGATTTACTAATTAACTTCTTTTCTGTTGTGAATGAGGATAGGAAGTCTTTTTTTATGCTAATCACATCAGCCCAGAGGACAGAGGAAAAACTATATTTGTGTCTGGACTTTATCATATTATATTTTGGAAGGATAAGGTCATCCCTAGGCCATGTCCCAAGCTTTTACCAAAAGTAATCTGATTTTCATTTAAATCAGATGACTCATTGGCTAGTCTTTTCTGTAAACCATGCTAAAATCAAGAACAAACGGAACTTAAAAGCTTAGCTGTTGTTAGGATATTAACATTTGTGCTGCATAGACATTACCATGTCAAGTTTCCACAAGATTGTCTGTGGATCTGGACACAGACTGAAGCATAAATGTGTCAGTTCAGTCACTAAGAAGGTGTTTAAAATTGTATGAAGATTTTCACGTGAAGTTTAAGGTTAGATTCATGAGCACTGACAGTTGCTATGATTTTCCTGGGGAGTGTGTGTACATCTCATATTTGGGAAGGCTCACTTCATTTCCTCATAGAAGTGTCAAAAGGTGCTCCTTGAGGCAAAACTCGCAGTTTTCTTTACTGAAATATCCATTAAGCAGTCATCTTTTTCATATCCAGTTGTGGGATTCTGAGCCCCTGTGTGTAGACTGCAGAAGACGCTTTACTTGACAGGAGGCAGTACTTTTGGGGATGTTACCTTTATGATCTCCACCAGTCTGTATCCTTTCCCATTGCTGAATACTGTACTGACGAAGGAAGTAAAGGATGGTTGAGTGTCCCTGAAACTTTTTTCTTCATCTTGAGCATCCAGCACCAGGGGAGACTGCTGGAAAAATCCTCATACCTTGAATGTGAGAGACATTTATGTCAGAAGTAAAATGTTTGTATATGCATAAAAGAATTCTGCTTTTTTTCTGTATGTCAAGCCAGTTTTCTTGCATTTTGTTGCGTGGCAATGTCAGTAGTGATGCTCTGACTCTTAAATACAGTCCTTTAGGGTCAGGGTAGGAAGCAAAGCTTGTGCAATATTTTTGTTCACTGTCAGTTTCTTTTTTTTTAATTGTTTAATATATATTTAAAACTATATGCTGTGAAGTTTTTTATGCTTTCAATCATTTTGCATAAACTATTTTTTAAAATAAAGGAATCATAACCATTTAATATTCTTCTGTGTAAATAGCTTTTGTGATTTTAAAGGTTGTAAATGAACTAGGAGTAATATATTGAAATATGAGCAATCAAAGACTTTTCTAAACCATGAAATATGTTTATGCAAATATGGCAAAATATTGCAGCTCACTAGGAATTAAAAGCTTAATAAAATCAACTGTCAGGCACTACCCTGGTTCTACTAATGCCTTTACAGTTGTCAGGAAGATACTAGATCTCTGCTGGACAAAAAAAACAGTCTTACTTTTTCTCTCTTCTAAGGTTGAGTCATTTGTGGGCAAACAGTAAATTGTCTGTTTGACTTGTTTTGTTTTAGATGTAACAGAGCTCTATTTTTTAACAAGTCACATGAATATCAATCAAAATACTTTAACTCTAAAATATCACCAAACATGCTTTTGATTCCGGGAGAAAATTTGCTTGAACCCAACATGATTTTGTGTGTAACTAAAACTTTTCTTTCTGAGTTATTGTTAGATTTATTGATAAAAATGAGGTGGGCATGATATAAGTGCTGAGCAAGCAAAGTTGGTGTTCAGTGTCATGTTTTCATTATTAAAGCAGCCTTGATTTGAGTGGTATGCAGAACTGGACATAGATCAGCAAAGCCGTTAGAATCTGTGTTAATCTTTCTGGAATGTTAAAATGTTTGCTTGATTGGTAATTGCTGTATTTAGACTCCAGTTTGCTAAGGAGCTCTGCGTAGGCAACTCATAGCTGAGCTGTGAAGTTTGAAAAGAAAGGAATTGATGTCCTCAATCCCCATCTCATCGTAGAACTAAATCTTGAATTTCTCTGACTCACCACATTCTTCCAAGTTCTTTGAAAATATGTGATTCTTCTGTTCAAATTCAAGAACTATAGAAGGGGCAGTAGTCAGACTCATACTTTTTAAATACAAAGATTTAGATTAAACCTTTGAAAAATCCTCGAAAACATTAGACTGCAAAATATTCAGTGTTGGAGTGATTTTGAAAATCCATTTGTGTGTAGCTCCTTCTGACATTGTCTACAGTGATTTTGTAGCTGAATGTTTTCTTAAAAGTTAGATGTATTTAGTGTAACTATGTAGTTCAATATGCTGATATGCTAAATATGTACTAAACCTGAACAGCTTATGGAAGCATTCTGAACAAACACACAGCACTCGTATTAACGGCAGAGAAGATAAAGTATTTGAAGGGCCAGTCAAGGACCCATTCTTAGTAGAATTAAGTTTTTTACTGAAAAGAGAAGCAAGAGGAACAGAACGGCTAGAATTTCTCACTAAAAAAAAAAAAAATCTTCAAAGTCTATTTCTTGTTTATATGCTGATTCCCTGTAGAAACTGAACAGATCAGTTAACTTCAGTCATTGTTCTCCACCGAGTAAGTTTAAACCAACGCCACCCTCACTTCATCCCCCCAAACTGTATCTTGGAATTGTTTGGATCGGGGGACTTACTTGTGTGACACATTTTGGAAATCTCCTCTCCATAGTGGCATCTTTGACTTGTGTCTTGTCAAAATTGTTCTCGCTTAACAAATGAAGGTTTTGTGACTGTTTGGCTTAGGAGGCTGTAGATGATACCTAGACTGTTTACAGACTTGGGTGAGTAACAGTTTAAGGAGGAAGATAAAAAGTACTGCTTAACATATTCAAAGTATGTGGGAATCCCATTTCTGGTTCCTTCCAAGGATTTTTCTCTCATCTAAATTCTGATGGATTAATATGTGATGACGAAACTCTGGCTGGGTATAAAATATGCAAAAAAAAAAAAGAAAAAGTGATAGATGAGGTCACAGATGTTCAGAGCTGGTCACTCTTTCATACTTTCTGTTGTAGCCATTTCTCTGAAGACCACCAGTATTCAGAATTTGTCCAATGTGCTTCAATTTCAAGTTCCTTCACCGTGTGACCAGGTTCTGGTTCTACCACCTGATAACTTACTGTGTTCTACTCAGTGGAACTTTCTGGAGATGCTAGTGAAAAGCTTCTCCTCTCTTCTGGGAAATAAGTAAGGTGCTGTCTGAAGCTAGTTTGGGTTTGTTTGGGTTTTTTTCTCCTCTCTTTTGCCCTTGAATTAATCAATTCAAGACAAATGCAGCCTTCTTCCAGGAGGAAAATTTTACCCTTACAACCTCATCTTCCAGGAATGAGGTGCAGTATGAAAAACTCCTTGTTAGAGTTTGCTTTACAAACCTTTGTCTTTCCAGAGTCCCTTTTTTCCTTATTCTGTGTTCTCGGTATTTCTCTAAAGAACTGAGGATGGTTTTGACTATGGACCTTTATGTAGTCTCGCGTGAAATGTTCTTATCTTCAAGTAAATGGGGACCCAGCCCCTGCCTTTATAGTTTGTAAGCATAATTTGGGTTTAAGACTTGCCCGCCTATCAAGAGTGTTGTGTTTACAAGACTGTATTTGAAGAACCCCACGTATATATGACTTACTTCCTAATGTTCTGTCATAAAATAGGAAGCTTGTTGTTGACAGTAGCAAGTTTTTTTCTTTTCCTGTTTTAGATGAACTTTTGATCTTGAAATGTGGA